CCTACTTTGGAGTCTATGATACTGCCAAGGGTGAGAGAAGGGCTTGAGGGGTGGAGGGGGGGGGTGGCCTGGGGAGGAGGAGGAGGACCTGCAGACAGGACCCCGAGGGATTTGTAACTCACAAAGGGCTTTATATGTATTAATCCTGTTTCTTTCCTAGTCTCTGGGCTAAATTGAGGCTTTGGAATGAGGCGGTGGTGACGTGAGGCTATAGAGAAGCGGTTCTCAACCTGTGGGTCGCGACCCCTTTGGCGGTCAAAGACCCTTTCACAGGGATTGCCTAAGACCATCCTGCATATCAGATATTTACATTACGATTCATAACAGTAGCAACATTACAGTTATGAAGTAGCAACGAAAATAATGTTATGGTTGGGTCACAAATGAGGAACTGTATTTAAAGGGCCAGAAGGTTGAGAACCACCGAGCTACAGGCTTCTCCTGGTCCTCTACTGAAACAAGCTCTGGCCTTGTGTTATTGAGAGGAAGGGCAGACCAGCCCCCTCATCCCATGGCTCTGTCGTTCCTGAGCGTAACCTGGACCATTTCAACGTGTCCTGTACGCTGGGCAGAACTCGGCTTCCCTGGATCCAGCAAGGGTAGCCAGGTTTTGCTGGAAGGGGGGCCTGGGGTTGGAGGTTCCGTAGCCTCTTCCCATCTCCTCCTGCTTTTGGCGGAGCTGCTGAGAGGAATCACTTCATCGCCATTTGGCTTTTGGCTCTGCCCGCAGGGATGCTGCCTGACCCCAAGAATGTGCACATTTTCATCAGCTGGATGATCGCTCAGTCCGTGACGGCGGTGGCGGGGCTGGTGTCCTACCCCTTTGACACTGTGCGCCGTAGGATGATGATGCAGTCTGGCCGGAAGGGGGGTAAGCCTGGCACCTACTGATCTAAAGCATAGCTTTCCTGCCTGAGGAGAACCCTGTTTGGTACTGTTTTCAGTCTTCACTATTCCAATTGTTAAAATCATGTGATAGGAATTTATGAAAGAAAGCTTCTCAACTATTTCTCTAGAGAACTTTATTATCATATAGATAAGAACATAGAAAATGGGACATTTAGAGGTGGACTTAACTAGGTATCTAGCATGATAGAGGCCTTAGGCCCTTTTTCTTAGAGCAGCGATTTTCAACCGGTGTGCCACAATAATTTTTTATTGTTGATAGTATTACAGATATCTAGATATCTCCCCTCCCCTCTCCCCTTTACTCCCCTCTTCCCAGTCCCTACCCACCCTGCCAGGTCTTCGCTACCCTATTGCCCGTGTCCATGGGTTATGCATATAAGTACATAAGTTCTTTGGTTTATCTCTTCTCTTCCCAACCCCACATCGAGGTATGTCAGTCTGTTCCATGCCTCCCTGCTTCAGGTCTTATTTTGTTGGTCAATTCATTTTGTTTATCTGCAACAATTTTTAAAACATGCAAAAGCTGATTATTTAGTCAGGGACACTGATTTCTTTTCCCTTAGATTGTCAAATAAAAAAATGACAATAGCCAACACAATAGCTATCCGGAGTGACTGAATCAATTTTGTCAGATTGGCAAAATATATATTTTTGGTGTGACGAAAATGTTAGTAATTTATGTGTGCCATGAGATGAAAAAGGTGGAAAATCGCAGCCTTAGAGGCTGGGTGCAGAAACAAGGGGGAAGAATTGAAGTAACTAGCTGGTTTATTTAACAATGATTCTTCTCTTACCTAGTTATGACAGGCAGGGAAGGGTGACGTAGGTGGACAAGGGATGGCCTCAAGCAGCCTGCTCCAATAGAAAAGGTCTTAGCTCCCATAGGTTGAAATATATGAAATTGCCATTTTTAATGTAAAAAAGTCATGTTAGTTTCATTTGGTTCAACCTAATAGTTGTGGCTCCTTTAACTGTGTAATCTTGGACTAGTATATCCTGAGAGTAGGCCTTATTTTTCTCATCCATAAAAAGGGCACTACCTAGTTAAACACTTCTGTTCCACCATGCTCCCGTTTTACAGTGTGATGGTCTGTGAATCAGCTGGTTGATGGCCACAGTTCTCACCTTGAGTTAAAGGAGTAGGAATGACAAGAGAGCCTGCCTAGCAGTTATGCAGGAAAGGGATGTCTAGTTGAACACGGCATAGAGCTGGGAGTTGGAGCTCAAGCGACTTACTTGTGACACTGTGTGCAGAGGTCTCTCAGGGGAAAAGTCTCTTTCAAAAACAGATCCAGAGACAGAGAAGCATCGATCAGACCATCAAACCTCAGAGGGAAGGTAGGGGAGGGTGGGGGTAAGGGGGAGAGGTCAACCAAAGGACTTGTATACATGCATATGAGCCTAACCAATGGACACAGACAACAGGGGGTGAGGGCATGAGTTGGGGGATTGGGAGGCAATGGGGAGATAAGGACACATATGTAATACCTTAATCAATAAAAAAATAAAAAATTAAAAAATAAAAAAGAATTGCGGAGCCCTTACCATTGTTTGTTTCCACAGCTGACATTATGTACACGGGGACGCTGGACTGCTGGAGGAAGATTGCCAAAGACGAGGGAGGCAAGGCTTTCTTCAAAGGTGCCTGGTCCAATGTATTGAGAGGCATGGGCGGTGCCTTTGTGTTGGTGTTGTATGATGAGATCAAAAAGATCGTCTAATGTAATTAAAGCAAATTCACTGCTTCCAGACCTGTTTGTGTGGTTTAATAGACTCTTCCTAGGGGAAGTAAAAAGAAAGATCTGGGATAAAACCAGACTGAAAGGAATACCTCAGGAAAAAAAAATGGCTTCACTGAGTGTTCATTAAACCACAAATGTATTTTGTATTTATTTTACATGGAAATTCCCACAGAAAATATAAAATAACGTATCATACTTGTATAATTAACTGAAGAACTGATAATAACTGAATGTGAAACAAATAAAGACCACTTAATGCACCTTCTCTATTGAATTATTAACTGCCAAATGGATTAAAAAATAAGACCATACGTGCCTATTTTCTAGCATGACTCACTTATAAATCAGTGGCCCAGCTTTTAAATGCCAAATATACTATTTACATGTACATACCTACAATGCTTAAGGGTTCTGGCTTCCAAACGTGAACAGGCCATGCACTCTCTGACCTCACACCACGTCGCTGTAGACTCCAAAGTGATGACACCGGCCAGGGCTTCCATAACCTGACCTTATTTTATGCACATCCACTCAGTTCAGGAATTCCGAGCTTCCACCAAGAGCTTCAGAACACAGTTTCAAGAGTCTTGCACTAATAGGAAGTGCTTCGTATCAGTGCCATTAGAGAACTGTGAGACAGGACTTCATGACAAGTGGGCACTGTCCACTGAACAGCAGCTAGCATGCTAGTATTTAATGACTAAATTCTGTGGGAGATACAGGAAGCCTGGAACCCATCCTGGAAGAAGCCGAAATGGGGGCAGGAGCGAGGAAATGGCCTTGTTACCTAATGTAAAGTGTAATACAGTGAATCTTGGTTGAGTAGAAGAGGGGAGCTGAAATGTGGCAGGAGTAGAAGGTAGACCTTGAAGAAAATAACTAGATTTAGACCCATGGCTCTAGAAAGCATCTGCCGGCGTTAGATACATGGGTACAGAACATTTCTGCCAGCACTTTTCTGTAACCATTTAGCAAGACCTAGCAGAAAAAGTCAGTTTTGGATTTGACTCATAAATTTGTGAGCAAGAGGAAAAGAACTACAATTTCAAGTGGGAAATGAGGCACTTTGGTCCAGAAGACAAACGGTTCATATAGCTCTAGCTTGTTGAGTGCCTGGGAGGGAACAAACTCCTCGATTCTAGGCAAAGCCTGAAAGGTGGGCACCTGCCTTTTATTTCCCGCTAGATGGTTTGAGGGGTGTGGCGCCTCTGTACTTTCTTTTCCTTCTTCCTTCTCAAGCTCTTCCCCCTACTCAGTCCTGCAGCCCCAGTAAGAAGTTGACTGCCTTGTTCTATGCTTTACCACATCCAAGGTCACATCTATCCCAATCCAGTAGGTATCTCTTAGAGGAAATGGGGCTGCTTCATTTGATGGGTGCCCAAATCCAGGTTCAAGATTAATACTTATTTCACTATGAAGATCTGAGAATTACCCTTTTAAAGAAGTATTTATGGTGTATAAAGGATTTCCATATTGGCAGACCAGGTGATGCAAACCATGCACCCCCTCACAACTAGAAAAGGGGCTCCAACTGTTTAAAATAAAATCTGCATGAAGGCAGGGAGGAGCTAAGGAGGCATGGAAAATTATGGGGCCAACACTTTGGAAGGAGACAATGCAGAAGTGAGTCTGATGTGTTTCCTCATCGGATACTTTTCCTCACTTGGTGCCTGCAAATCATCGAAAATTCAGCTGAAATGCTGAGGGACTACAGCAGTGTTGGCGAACCTTTTGAGCTCGGCGTGTCAGCATTTTGAAAAACCCTAACTTAACTCTGGTGCCGTGTCACATATAGAAATTTTTTGATCTTTGCAACCATAGTAAAACAAAGACATATTTTTTATCTTTATTTTATATATTTAAATGCTATTTAACAAAGAAAAATCAACCAAAAAAAATGAGTTCGCGTGTCACTTCTGACACGCGTGTCATAGGTTCGCCATCACTGGACTAGAGTCTGAAAGCCTCTTGGGGAGAAAGGGACAAGAACGAACCCTCGGCCTGCCAAGGAAGGGGAGCCCTGATAAACTTGTTTTGGATTGGGACCCCAGAGGGTGATACCCTAGCAGTAAGAGTGAAATGGGACTAGTTTGGCCTTGCAGTCAATCTAGAACAGTGTGCCCAATGTAGCATTGTAACAATTTTACAGAACAAATTTGATAATGTGGTTTAAAGAGATGATTGATCAAGAACAGAATTTTAAGCAAAACTCTGAAAGCTCTATAACGAATACCCTCCTTCCAACTTCATTCTCACTAATTCTTGGTTTTGTGCAGTACGTAAAAGTTGTTATTCTAATTTTTCAAATGGGAGAACAAGACCATGCAATTGAGAGACAGACGCAGGATCAAAACTCAGATTTACTTCTTTTATTTCTTTCTTCACTATGCCAAGCTAGTTCTTCATGACCAAAATACATTACAATGGACTGAAAAATTTTTAAAGGATATTGATTTTTCAATTTCTTACTGACCTTTATGCATGAAAATAAAGTCATTATCATTAAGCACATTTTCTAGGCTGGTATATAATCATTTATAGGTAAAGACTTTGGCATTTAAGATATTAAACATTTTATGAATTATCAAAATATAATAATTAAACTTGTATCTTCGGCATTATATTGGTCATAATACTTTTCACAGTGTGCAGTACTTGAGTCTGAAGATGGGACACACACACTCATATCCCTCACAATGACCTCTTTTTAAAGTTGTCTAGATAAGCATTTTGGACATTTGGGTTAATGGTTGAAAACAACTGCATTACACTATGTTTATAAGCAAACCAGAACATTTTATTTGTAGTAGTAGCTAAGAAAGTGGCTTTTAATGGATAGTGAAAAAAGGAAGTAGGGAAAGCCCAAGATAATAGATATTTCTTAGGAAATAATTTTAATTGTTCAAAATCTTTCACAGAATCTTATGGAAAAGAGGCAATATTAGTTTAGCATTTGACAGATATGAAAATAACACTCAATAAGAATCTTGCCTAATAATTTAGATTTTGGGTTAGTGTAATTTTGCAGAAGTAAATCTTCAAAGTATAAACAGCAAGGTACCAGTGAACCAAATATAAAGTAGTACTAGGTGATCCTTCACTTTTTATGTTCTTGAAAATGAATACAGTATAATTACGAGCCCTTCATAAAAAATGCCTCTTAAACCATAACTTCAAAGTACCTTGAAGAATATCACATTTTTCAATTCCTAGCCTTCTATTTACACTTATCATATATAAGTAATCATGACAACAGTATTATAAATTGTTTTAAAAAAACAAATATTGTTTTTCTTCCTGACTTTTACTTTGAATCCCTGTTATCAGTTACATTTAGAAGCACCTCCCTGTCAAAGCAGTACAAATAAAGGCATTAATTTAGTATCTAAAAATCAAAGTACTGCTTTATCTATGAAATTATGTGTTGTACCTAAAATATGGCAAGGACCATATAAATGTTCCTAGAGACTGTCATTATGAACATTAAAAGGTTTGACATATATTTTTTCTAACAATGTAAAAATCAATTAAAAAATACTGGCTAATCACTATTGGACTGATGTTCAAATGCCGAGTTTTAAATTCAACGTTACCTTATCTCTCCTTAAAGATAGGTTGTTATACAAACATGAGAAGTACAGTAAGCTAAAAACTAAAACCTTGCATTAGTATAGCTAAATTTTATATGTAAAGCAGTACCAAATGATGTAAAAACCTGTTCACCAGAACAGAGCTTCAAACAACAGTGAAGGAACTGTAGCCCAAAGAAAGAAGAACTATCTGACAGTCAGGCTGTGTTCACATGAATTACTTTAGCCCTACTGTTCCCACGCCTCACATGCCCTACCTTAAACAAAATCGATGAACACAAACTAAGACCAAGAAATTCGGAATTGATGTTCAGTAAAATGCAGTTTGGCTTTCTGCATACATGCTACAGAGCTTGAGTTAACCCAGAAAAATACAAATATTCTTATTGTGGTTACAGATCACAAATGCATATTAGAAAAAGAAAGGTTTGGCATTTAATATGGAAATTTTCCAACATTCTAAGGACATACTAAAGAGGCCAGTAATGAAAGACAATGATAACTAGAACAGCAGGCACAACCATGACTGAGATATACTTTAAGAGCCTACAGATTGAAACAAAACAAGCAAATTAGCAGACATAAAATAGTCTCAATAAATATATGATTCTCCCCCCCTTTATCGCTTATATTTTAGTTTTCTTTTTCAACCCTTAAAACCACTACCTGTAAGTTCTAAGGCTGCGAGACAATGCATTTCTTTCTTTTCTCTTCTCTTAATATAATAAATACTAAATGTAACACAGCTTGTTAACAGTATCATTTGAAACACTGTTCTGATACAACTCAGATCTACTTCTTGAGACTGGTGCTATTTTGCTGATTCAAAAAATACTCGCTTTTGCTTATGATGATCTGGTCCTTGGACAAACTATTCACAATGTAAGTAGACTGTAGCTTGCAAGCCTACCTTATTTTTCAGCATCATTAATAGTACTTTACCTGAATGTACAACAACATGAAAGAGGAGCTTCTAAGTGGAATTTCCTAATACTCACAATTTGAAATGGTTTGGAATGGCTGATGAAATGTTAAGGTGTAACTCAGCACACTTACACAGAGGTAGAAGATACCTCTGGCGAATCATAAGGACTGCCCCAGTAAATTAGGTCCAACAATGAAAACGAATTTCAAGATTTGTTCCATTAATAAGAAAGTGTTACAATTAAGTTATGAATCATACCACTTAAGTCCTAAAGCAAACAGAAAACAAAGCCAGTCAAGTTGAGGAGTAATGTTCATGGTTTAAAGCTTATAAGAGGTGAAAATAAAAATAAAATGAGATGTACATAGTTAACATCTCAGTGCCAACGTGCAGTAATACAACTGTTTTATCAGCATGAGAGCTGAACTGATCTCTATGCTAAGACAATATACATGCATTTACCTATTAAATACATATACATCTCATATAAATACACCCTCACAGGAAACACTGACTTTACATTAAATTGCCTTTTTTGAAAACAATTTTGCATTGAAGTACAATAAATTACAATTTGCTGTTGTACAACTTAAAATTCTTAAAACAGTTATTAGAGATGTTTACAAAGAGAATTATAGTAATGTACAAGAGCATTTCAATAAGAATTGGGTGAACAATGTTTAAAGTAAAAAGTTTTTATAACCAAGCTGTACGAACATTAGGGGGCTTAGGTCTTAGCAACAGGCCACTGGATTTGTCAAAAACTGCTCCCTCACTCTTACAACTGAGACCACTGGTAGCACTAGATGTCCTGGAAGCGCCTCCTGAAAATACACAAAAAATAAGAAATGATTTGAATTAAACAAAATACATAAATCATCATCTGATAAACTTCCTTTCCTAATTTTAAGTTCAGACTAAATTTTCCTTTCCTAACTCTCTCTCTTTTTTTGGTCCTGAGGATATTACTAATTTTAGAGAGAGAGGAAGGAGGGGAGAGAGAATCATCGATCATTTGCCTCCTATATCAATCCCAACTGGGGCGGGGGGGGGGGGGATTGAGCCTGCAACCTTTGGTATATGGGATGATATTTCAACTAACTAAGCCACACAGCCAGGGCTCACATGTTTTTAATAGTCTAATATAATTTTCAACCAGAAATGCACTTCAGAGTTCCCTGTGGAAGTTAAAAAATATACTACACTAGGGGATTTTGATTCAACAGATTTGGGTGGGAATAGATGTTTTAAATAAATGTTTTAAATGATTCAAGTGCAAAAAACCATATAACCATTAGAGGCCCGGTGCACAAATTCATGCATGCGTGGGGTCCTGCCAACCCACCCTGATTGGGGTCAATAGGGCTGGGCCGGTCGGGAGGAGGGGCCATGGGTGGTTGGCCAGCCGGCCCCACCCCCGGTCAAACTCCCGGCCAAGGGGACAATTTGCCTGTTAGCCTTTTATTATGTAGGATTATACATTTATTCAACAAAAAATGTACCACATTCAAGACCTAATACTTACTAAGCATGAGTTATTGGAACAGAACCCCATCCTAGTCACTATACCAAAGAAGTAATGCTTAGAGAATGATGAATGGAATTACTAGTCATTGGACTGTGTAAGACTCACATGAGCACTGGGGAGTTCTGGCATGGTAAGTGGTTCCAACTTTGTTTTAGTACTGGCTTCTAATTTTTCCAGTTTAGAATGCATATATGAAGCAACAGCACAGACTTCTGTACAGAAAGATATCTGGCCCCCCTGTATGTCCCAGACACTAGCACTTGGTCATTCTGCCTACATTCTCGGCAACACACCACTGGTCAGATGTGTGAATGACCATATAAAAAGCTTTAAGAAGGATTACATCTTATAACTCTACAGATTGTTGATTTTTGTTTTATTCAGTGAGGAAGACAGAGTATATACAAGGGCTGAAGATATTACCAATAATTCTTAACTGGCTGGGGAAATGTTTTAGCGACTTTTAAAGAGCACATCTATTCATTTCTTCCTTTAATAAATATATTGAAGTTAAAAGTCTCTCTTCCGCCCTAACCGGTTTGGCTCACTGGATAGAGCATCGGCCTGCGGACTCAAGGGTCCCAGGTTCAATTCTGGTCAAGGGCATGTACCTTGGTTGTGGGCACATCCCCAGTGGGGAGTGTGCAGGAGGCAGCTGATCGATGTTTCTCTCTCATCGATGTCTCTAACTCTCTATCCCTCTCCCTTCCTCTCTCTGTAAAAAAATCAATAATATATATATATTTTTTAAAAAGTCTCTCTTCCATTATCTAAGAAAACTACTGATATTTTCAACTGTTTTTTTCTCCTGGTTTCCTTCCTATGCTGCCATTACCTGCTATAAATGAAACCTGAAATTAAGTGAACTAACACAAACAAAGCATGCCAGTGAAAAATCATAAAGTGCATTTCAGAAGTCGTCATTTATCATGTCCTGGCCAGGTAGTTCAGGTAGTTAGAGCATTGTCCCGATATGCCAAGGTTGCAGGTTTGATCCCCAGTCAGGGCATACACAAGCATCAACCAATGAATGCATAAATAAGTAAAACAACAAATTGATGTTTCTCTCTCTCTCCCTCTAAAATCAATCAATAAATAAAAATAAATAAAACCCTATTATAAGAAAAAAGACAAAAAGATACAAATAAGTACAAAATAATTGTGAATATGCTTACTTAATGAGCTATACTGGCTGAGAGTCGATCTTGCTCGTCTTAAGGATGGTGATGAGTTGAGATAACCCATATTGCGATGATAGTCCATTAGCTGTTCTGACCGTTTCATGCCAACTGTTGGTTTCACGGCTTCAAGTCTCTTCAATAAAGCCTTCATTTAGAGACAATCAATGTGAAAGTCAGTGTTATATAAATACTAATATTTTTCCAAAAGGAAAACTATTTTTAGAACCTGAAATGGATGAAATTAAATAGAAAAGACTAAATCACTGTTGACATATTTCAAATAATATATTTTCAGGAGAACCTAAGGCAGTGGTTCTCAACCTTCTGGCCCTTTAAATACAGTTCCTCATGTTGTGACCCAACCATAAAATTATTTTCGTTGCTGCTTCATAACTGTAATGTTGCTACTGTTATGAATCGTCATGTAAATATCTGATATGCAGGATGGTCTTAGGCGACCCCTGTGAAAGGGTCGTTCGACCACCAAAGGGGTCTCGACCCACAGGTTGAGAACCGCTGACCCTAAGGGCTTTGACCTATCCTATAGCTAACCAAAGCCACTACGATTTTAACAACTGATCACAGGCACACCTCTTTCAGATCAGGTTACAATCTTAGAAAAGATGCTGTAAGGTGAAATACATTAAAGCTGAGTTTCTCATAGAAATGACAAAATGGGAATAATAATGCTAAGAGCCCAGGAATGACCATAAGCTTATTAAAGCTACTATAAATCCTCTATCTGGTTATCCAGCAGTGGCTTTCTACCTGCTTTAAATTTCCAGTAATGACTCCAGGCTGACTAGGATATTGAAGAAAGGCCAAGGGGCAGGGCCCTCCCACTCCTAATTTCTACCGACCCAACAATGCTTTTTGAATTGTCTGTTTTATATACTGAAGATTCTGCATAAAATTAGTTTGAAAAAAGAAAAGTTTTTGATGTTAAGAAGTCTGAAAATCAACTACAACTATTATAGAATATAAAGCTTTTTAAAGGTTATAAATCAACTAGCCAAGGCAACACAGTATCTAGTAACATAGTATAATAAGATTCAGCAAGAGTCTAATGTATAATGTTCTTAATTTTATTTTTCTTCTTCACAAATCAGGTGAAAGAGTTTCTTTTGTTTGCTTCTCCCGGGCATCATCGAGAAAGGAATATTTAAGTAGTCCAATGAATTCGGATTGATCCATGGTTCTGTTTTATTATTCTCTTTATTGATTTAAACTTCCTCTGTAGCACATTGAACTTTATCTAAAAAGAGAATGCTGTTCTGCACCAAGATTCATATTGAAAAATCAGCCTCGTGTTCCATCACAGGACAAGTTTTCCTCTGCACAATGTTTTCCTTCTTCCTCAACTTAAGTTTTAATTGTGGTAAAATATACATAACATAAAATTTATTGTTTAACCATTTTTAAACATAGTTCAGTGGCATTTAGTACATGTATGTAATTGTGAACCATCACATTTCCAGAACTTTTTCTCAACTTGGTGTTTTGTTCTTAGCATCTTCACCCCCTACCCCTCTATTCTCAGGTTTCGTCATCAGTGCTCCTGAACAATCCCAGAGAGGGGGGAGAGGGTGGTAGAACAAGTCAAAATATTCAGGGGAAGAGCCGATTAGAAAAGGGTGAGAAGGAGTTATGTGAATAAATGGAGCTTGGAGACAAATGGCAGAGGTGCAGAACACATGAAGAAGCAGAAAGATCAACTGAGAGAATGCAGCCTGCCAACGATTCTTTTTGCATGGAATGCCCTTCCCCATTTTTTAGCCTTCAAAGGCTCGAAGAGTCAACTCCTCCAAAGCCTTTCCCACCTAGTGTTAGTGGTTCTCTTTGCTGAGCTGAGAGTTATGATTTAAACATGGTTCCATTTGTAAAGTCTATGGTCTTTTTGCCATAACACTGGCTTTCTCTCTTCATAGACAAGAGAAGCTGTATAATTTAGGTAGCAAAACCTCCTAAGATTGTATTTTCTCTCTCTATAGTTTGTAGCTGCTCTGAGCTATGTAAGATACTGGAAGGAATATTAAAAATATATAAAATACTGCCTTGTCATGTAATTTATAACTTAGTTTGGAAGATAATACCATTGCATGTCTAAGACATTTATAGCGTAGTAAGCAACTTCCTATGTATCACATCATCAATGTATTTCACTGAGCAGAGCTACATCTGCTGTTTTATCTAATTATCCCATTAAATACTCACTGAGCTGTAAGGAGTGAAATAGATAGGCAGAAAACTGGATATTTTCAGTTACTTACAAATTTTATCTTTTTGCTGGTGAAAGTCTCAATATTTTTTTAACTAAACTCCTAATTTCCTAAATTTACTCTTTTGGTTAGATGCGCATTTTTCTTTTTATATCATCAAAATCAATTCTGAAATAATTTGTCAATAAGGCAAAAAGTAAACCCATTCTGTAGTCCTGAGATGTCGCTTATCAAGTTTACATGCAGAAACCTGGGGATATAAGAAACATGATTTGGCTCAGCTATCCAAATCATATGGAACCCACACCATGTATTAGTCCGTGTGTTATAACTTAACAAGCTAACAAAAATTAAAGAAATGCTTTCAGATAGGTCTTGCTTGTGGAAACAATATAAAAACTATGAAGTATTGATTACAGTATAAACCCTAAAATCAAAAGTATACATACGTTTCAGTCTAGTCATCAATTTACAACTCCTGGGTAAAACTTAAAAATAATTCAAAATGTTCTAACACTTGTAATAGAGTGATTAATAAAATGTAAGTTACTTAGTCAGAAAGACCTGTATTTAAATCCTGGCTCTGCCACTGATTATGTGACATTGGTCAAATGACTTAATAGGGATATTAACAATGAAATAAACCTCAAGCAATTTGGAGTAATAAGTGAGACAATGGGTATGAAGTGCTCAGAATAGTTCCTGGCATAGAGTAAGAACTTATAAATTGAAAAATGATAAGAATGGTTACTTATGTTCCAGTTTATGGTATACAAAATCTTAGAAATGCTACTGAAATCAGATTTTAATTATGAATCCCAAAATAGTTTGTCTAAATATATATTTTTTTAAATCTTGGAAACATTATTCTTTTTGGAAAGAAAAATAACTTAGCCTGAATGCTGTCTTCAGAGGCAGAAAGGTTAAAACAAATTAATGAATAAATAATGTGTTAATGATTTCTGTAGAGAAGAGTTGCTTTATTGTTTCTAAAGTGATAAAGCAAAGACCCTGAAGGACATTAGGGAGTAACAAGTATCCTACAGTCAGGAAAAATCAGGACCATTCCCCTATTTTCTACAGATAGAGTCATACTTAGTTATCATTAGGTTTATTTCTCTTATGGGAGGAGACAACAGTCAACAAAGCAGAGAATAAGGAAAGCCAGACTGAGTGAACTATGATTTTAAGATCTTAGAACAAAGGTACTGATTATTCAACTAATCAACACTCATACTAGATATGAGTGTGCTATAAATCTTCACTTTGTGACAATGTACCACTCTCCCTTTAACAGTTTCCCCATTTAAGAGGTCTAAAATTACTCCTCTAGACTAGAGCAGACAAAGAACAAAAGAAAAAGGATTTTATTTTTTACTTAATTTTTTTTTTTATTATTGATTTAAGAGAGGAAGGGAGAGGGAGTGAGAGAGATAGAAACATCAATGATGAGAGAATCATTGATCGGCTGCCTCCTGCACATCCCCCCACTGGGGATGTGCCCGCAACCCAGGCATGTGCCCTTGACCGGAATCGAACCAGGGACCCTTCAGTCCACAGGCCGATACTCTATCCACTGAGCCAAACCGGTGAGGCCATTTAATTTTTTTTTTTTATTATTGATTTAAGAGAGGAAGGGAGAGGGAGTGAGAGAGATAGAAACATCAATGATGAGAGAATCATTGATCGGCTGCCTCCTGCACATCCCCCACTGGGGATTGAGCCTGCAACCCAGGCATGTGCCCTTGACCGGAATCGAACCAGGGACCCTTCAGTCCACAGGCCGATACTCTATCCACTGAGCCAAACCGGTGAGGCCATTTAATGTTTTTAAGAACAGTCTGAATTTCTAAATTTATCCATGCACTACTTTTATTTTAACACAAGAACTCCCGAGTGGAAACATTATGGTCTACTTTATTGTCTACTTCTATTTCTCTGGATTTAAAATTAAAATAAATTAACTTCATTTGAGCTCTAGGCTCTAATTCTGATTCATTCCACCAGGAATATTACTTCTTCCCTCATCTTGCTTCAATTACCCCCCTCCCCCCCCCCGCCACTTCTTTCACAGCTCAGGAAACTGACATACATCTAAAAGAATGAAATAATCTAATTTCTATCAGAGGGTAAAGTGAAACTATAAAGTACCTTAATAACTCCCCTCTTCTCTGCTCTTTCATTAAAATCATCAATTTATACCATATTCAAATAAAGATAAGAAGATGCGGCTTAACAAGAATATTTCAAAGTTCATGAATTAAAAAACGAGTCCCCTTTTTGGAAATAATAAAGTTCTAATATAATTGAGTATATAGCAAGCACGCCCTCTACTGGATAAATTTACTTTTTCTTTATTTCCGTTGGTAATGAGGGGGGGAGATAGTGATAAACAAATAAGAAATCAAAATTCAACAGAAAGACAGATTAATAGCATGCTTTTAACTCTAAAGCTCAGGACTCAATTGTATACCATATTTTCCTTCTCTTTTTCTACCTTCTCTGCACAGTGGTACTTCTTTGTCTTGAATTGTATTAGTCTAAATACTGGTAGCTTCTGGATTGCTAACAAGTGAAAGTAAGAGTCCTGGAACAGAACTGCTTTAGTCATCATGCCTGTCAGCCATATGAACTGATGATCTCCATCACAAGATGAGAGCAAATGAAGGAATACAAATCATAAAAATGATAAAGTAATGGATGCTGCTTGTGCAGTATATCTGACACAGATATAACTATAAAAATGTGCATGTACATGTGTTTTGACCATGAACAGCCTACCAAGCAGATTTAAAAGTATAACAGCTTAGCCCTGGACTGTGTGGCTCAGTTGGTTGGAGCATCATCCTGTGCATCGAATAAATGGGAAGACATACCATATTTCTGTATAGGAAGGTAATACTTTAAGAATGTCAACACTCTGCAATTAAAATGTAAATTTAACATTAATTCCAATAAAAACTTATAATAGATATTTTTAAATTTTGTTTTAGAGAATATTGTTGTTTTGTAATTTAAATTCCTTTATTGTTAAAGTATTACATATGTCTCCTTTTCTTTTTTTAAAAATTTTTTCATTAGTCATATTTACCAATGGTAAGGGCAGGGAGACAAAGAGAAATATTTAATAACATCCAACACATAGGGATTATAACTAATACTTTTTATTTCATTTATTTTATTTTTATTTATTTATTTTTTAAATATATATTTTATTGATTTTTTACAGTGAGGAAGGGAGAGGGATAGTCAGAAACATTGATGAGAGAGAAACATCGATCAGCTGCCTCCTGCACATCCCAATTAGGGGATGCACCACAACCAAGGTACATGCCCCTGACTGGAACGGAACCTGGGACCCTTCAGTCTGCAGGCTGACGCTCTATCCATTGAGCCAAACCGGCTAGAGCAATATGTCTCCTTTTCTTATAACAGAGGCCCAGTGCATGAATTTGTGCATGGGTGGGGTTCCTCAGCCTGGCCGGCAATTGGAGCCGATTGGGGCCATCTCGCCCAGTCCTGATCAGGGCCAGAGGCCAAACTCCCATGGCCCCTCCCCCCACTGGCCAGCCCAATTGGGGCCATCGGGGTTGGCTGGCTGGCGGGAGGGACCACCGGAAGTTGGCCAGCCAGGGGGAGGAACCATGGGAAGTCGGGTGTGGGAATGCACTGACCACCAGGAGGCAGCTCCTGCACTGAGCGTCTGGCCCGTGGTGGTCAGTATGCATCATAGCGACTGGTCGACCGGTTGTTGGGTCGTAATGGTCACTTAGGCTTATATATACATATAGAATAGATTTTTTAATGAAAAAATAATAAATCATTATGAAGGATAAATGCAAAGGAACAGATAAGTTTTTGGAAGATACAGAATTAGCTTCAAATTGCTACAGTGATGTGCAGAAAACTACCACCTAACCTACTATCCATTAACCTCATTTCAACTTGCTTTGTTGCTATATACTCCTTGCTACATGCAGAGTAACCCTCCTGAAGGATTTAAGAATCTATTAGTATTACAATTTCAGGTTAGTATACAGAAAAATAGGACTGTACTGATGATGAAATATGAGGGTGAATTTTGGAAACTGTTTTAGTAATTGTTAATAAAAGCTTTATCAATTATTTTAAGTTTGAATTTATGTGCTCATTAAAGATTTAATTTTAGTTTAAAACACTATCTGGGTTTAGAATCTTGGCTAAATCACTCACTCTGTGTCCTTGGGCTCATATTTAACACCTCTAAGTCTCAGTTATTTAACTGTAAGATGTGGATAAAAACAGTATCTACCTGAAAGAATTATTGTCAGGATTCAATAAGCTAATATTTGGAAGATACTAAGAACAATGTCTGGCCCGGCTGGTGTTTCTCAGTATTTGAGCATTGACCTATGAACCACGAGGTCACAGTTTGATTCTGGTCAGGGCACATGCCCTGTGTGGGGCATGCAGGAGGGAGCCGATCAATGATTCTCTCCCATCATTGTTTCTGTCTCTCTCTCCCTTTCTCTCTGAAATCAATAAAAATATATTAAAAAAAAGAACAATGCCTGGCATTTAGTAAGAGCTCAGTAAATAGCAGCAATTATTATGAACTGAATTTCATAAAGAAAATAATTGAGGGTGAGGGCAGGACTGGGGGGGTGGAGGGAAAATGGGGGAATAAGGACACATTTGTAATGCCTTAATGAATAAAGAAAAAAATCATAAAAAAAGAAAAAATCATATGCTATGAGTTTTTAATGAGAAGATTTTCAACAGTCCCCACATATATTTCTTAGAACATCAAAGTGTAACTATATTTTTTAACGATAATGCCTTTCATACATTCAAGTAGCAGACCACAAAATTTGACCTCTTTGAGAACATATATATTCTTTAAAACTAGAGGGCTGGTGCACAGAATTTGTGCACAGAGGCAGGGGGTGTGCCCCTTAGCCTGGCCTGCGCCCTCTTGCAATCCGGGACCCCTCGGGTAGGGTCCCTAGACCTGGCCAGCAATCAGGGCCTATCAGGGCTTTCCTTCTCCTGGCTGCCGGCAGCTGGCCCCGCCCCCGCTGCTGCCACTGCTTGACATCTGTGCGATGCTACCCCCCACCCCCGCCACCGATTGCCTCCCTCTATGGGTGACAAGCGTTGGGTGCGATTGCTTACGGGGCAATTAATGGCCAGCCATTCACACCTGCCACAGCGCCGCTGGCCTGGGCCTCCCTCTGTGGGGCGATCGATCGCGGGGCCCCCGGATCAATCACCCCACAGAGGGAGGCCCCACCCACCTGCCGCAGCGCTGTCAGCAGGGTGGCCTGGGTCTCCCTCTGTGGGGTGATCGTGGAGCCCCCCACCCCACTGAATGCCCGCTGACCTGGGCCTCCCTCTGAGGGGCAATCGTGGGGAGATGATGGGGTTCCCCAACCAATCACATCGCACCTGCCTTGGCTGGCCTGGCACCAGTGCGTGTCATAGTGTGGTCTCTGGAAGGTCGTTTGGACGGTCATTCTGCTGTTCAGTTGTTCGGTTGATTTGCATATTATGCTTTTATTATTATAGAAGAAGATTACTAGAGGCCTGTTGCACAAAAAGAATTGTGCAATAGGCCTTCCCTTCCCCTGGCTGCCAGCACCAGTTTTCCTCTGGCACCCGGGACCCAGGCCTTCGCTCCGGCCGGAGCCGCCTTCAGTCTTTGCTGCTCCGGCCGGAGCCGCCTTCAGTCTTTGCTGCTCCGGCCGGAGCCGCCTTCAAGCCCTCGCTGCTCCGGCCGGAGCCGCCTTCAAGCCCTCGCTGCTCCGGCCAGAGCCGCCTTCAGTCTTCACTCCGCCACTTTGCGCCTACGTATGCAAATTAACCGCCAACAAAGATGGCGGTTAATTTGCATATCTCACTGGTTAGCCAATGGGAGGCGTAGTGAAGGTACGGTCAATTACCATGTTTGTCAATTATTAGATAGGATTCTAGATAAGTGATATATAAATTGTGTTAGCTTTCACGGATACAGTAAAGTGAAATAGATTAAGCTAGTGACTGAATACTTCATAGATGATATATACATTCTAGAGGCCCAGTGCATGAAATTTGTGTACTGGTACGGTTCCTAGCAGCTGCCGGCTGCCGCTCCCTCCTCTCCCCTCCCCCGGCCGCCTGCTGCTGCCACTGCTGCCACCACTGGCCGGGGCCTCCCTCCCTTCCTCCGGCCAGCCCTGCCTCCTGGTCAAATTCCCGAACCACCTCCTGGTCAAGAGGACAATTTGCATACTACGCTTTTATTATATAGGATGACCCTTGGACATCATTTCCTGTACTACTGTAGTGATTTAACAGATCTAGTCAAATAGTTAATGGAGGTTTCAGTATTTTCATTTAAGGTTCCCTTAAAATATGGGTTGCTGAAAAAAAGCTACACATTGTACCTTACAGGCTCATAGTTCATCATGTATTTCATGCCAAACACATCTAAATCTATTTTTATATAATTAAGTTTAAATATTGGGCTGTCTTTGGGTTTCCGGTAAGTTGGGTTTAAAAAATCAATACAAATGCATTTCCTTGATGACTAAAAAATTTTTTACTTACCAAATTTTCTCTTTCAATCCTTTGTTGTTCTTTCTGTCTGTTGACAGCACTGTGATATAACTTAGGGGGATGACTATATCTTCTAGGAATCATATTTTTGCTTCCTGGTTTTTCAGCCTGTCTTGACAGTTCTTTCAAAAGCCTCTGATTTTCCCGATCAATCTGTCTCACCTCCTCTCTTGTGAAAGAGTAGTTTCTCCTAGGTGCTGCTGAAGGCTGATCTAAGTGATGTTTCTCTGGTCTCTTTTTATCCAATTCCAGAAAAGCTACAGAAATGAACAATAGAAGGAAAAATGGCTAAAGAAAGTAGCATGAAATATGATGGTATCTGCTTTAATTCTTAAAATTAAAACTACATTTATTCATGAAAAGATATAGATGAAATAATGTTACTGACATCACACTACAATTGTGTAGAAAAAAATCCAGAGGCAGCTTAGCATTTTATGCTTACTGAGTTCTTTGGGAATAAAAGCTATATACCAAACAATAAGAAATGTACATGGTGCTGGTTTTAAGGTAGGTATAATATATGGAAAATGCCCCTGTCAGGTTCATCCTATGTTTCCCCAAGGAAGCTTAATAATTAGGAAGGTTGGAAACCTCTGTTGAGTGTACCAATATAATACTTAGACAGTTTTTGTTAGGTGGAAGGCATACTTCAAAAATAAAGTGTCCTCAGCAATGACTGGTGAAAACAATGGGTAGAAAATGGCAAAAACAAATGCAGAATATTCTGAAACTTTCCACTTAATCTGAAAATATTTTACTACAGTATTTTGTATTGGCATTAAAACAAATACTTCTGTAGAAGTCAAACATTTCATCCTGATTAAACATAAGCCAACATCAATATCCTATATAATAAAAGCCTAGATGGCGTCACACGACGCACTCATGTGATGTTGTCACAAGATGGCCACCACAAGATGGCCGACAGGGGAGGGCAGTTGGGGGCAAACAGGCCGGCAGGGGAGGGCAGTTGGGGGCGACCAGGCCAGCAGGGGAAGGCAGTTGGGGGCAATCGGGCTGGCACGGGAGGGGAGCTGGGGGTGATCGGGCCAGCAGGGGAGCAGTTAGGGAGCGATCAGGCTGGCAGCCAGAAGCGGTTAGGGGCAATAGGCAGGCAGGCGAGCGGTTAGGAGCCAGCAGTCCTGGATTGTGAGAGGGATATCCAACTGCCAGCAGGGGGATATGCAAGGGGTCCCAGATTGGAGAGGGTGCAGGCAGGGCTGAGGGACACCCCCCTTCTGTGCACAAATTTTGTGCACCGGGCCTCTAGTATTGTATAAAAAGTTTGTAACCAAGAAAAATATTTTGCATACTGATTATCACATAAAAGTTTCTAAAACTATTAAGCTTGCTAAATGTTTCAGTTTAAGTCAGTACTAAAATGACTACATTATATCAGATTAGTAATATACTGGCACATTTATTATGTTTTTTACAATATTTTTTTAAAGTAAGCGTTACTTGTTTTTACTTGAGTACCTCTGTTAACTCTTTTACTGTCTTAGCGTTTTGTACTATAAGAGGAAGAGGCATTTTTAACCCTCATCTAAAAATGTGACTGGTACAGAAAATTTAAAACATTTGAGCAAGGTCACAAAAACTGTATGTCTAGCTCCCTATATTTAACCATAGACAATCAAAGATTACAGAAACTTAAAATAAATTTTATTAACAGTGATTTCCTGATATAAAATGATGAAATTAATGGTTGGTAATTTGTTGAAAACCAAATGACAAAACCTGAATGAGAACACATTTAGAAAGATATAGAAGGGCTGAACATAATTATCTTGCTTCTAAGAAATGCCCATTTTGTAGAATTTAATAAGGTTTCTATATTAATTTAGCCATAAATGAAAGCCTTTAAAATTAAATTCTAAACAAAATTAAAAGTATACCTTTTTCCTAATGGCATTTTTAAAAAGTTTTAAAAAGTAAAATAAGGCAATAGCTATAAATAAATTAATTATATAAAGGACACTTAACCTAATTCACTTTAAAAATTAGCATTCTAACTCTGATGGAAAAGTATATGGATGGAGTACTTATATACTGAATCCAGGTATCACTATTATGTTTTTCTAAAGTGGCTAAATGCTCAAGTATGAAGCAAATTTAAATATAGGGGTGGGTTTACAGTATAATACAATTAATAAGTGATAATACCAGAATAAACTATCTCATGTACTCACAACTGTAGACCTACTTTTGTCCACCCCTTATATGCTCCATTGGTTTTTCCGATGAAGATCTAATTTTTTTTTTTTTTAACTTGAATAAACTTTCAAGGATGTAGAGAGCGCCTGGGAAAGGCCCCTGAGCTGATTGTCATCTGAATCCAACGGTGCCCATTAGAGCCATGCCCTGGAAACATACCTTGCCAGAGGCAGGTGTGTTGTCAGCCTGACCTTCAGCTCAGGTGCCAGGGGGTGGGTTTCATTATCTAAATCCAGCCAAGCACCAGGAACAATCACCATTATCTGGGCACACCGGGAAGTGACAATTACAAAGAAGCCACAAGGATGCACATAATCTCCTTTGTCTTGGGCTTTAAGTAAAACCTCCTGGTATTTTGCTGTATAAAATAAACGCACTATATCTACTCCGGGTCACTGTCTCTCCGTCAGAGGACAGCTGCCCCACCCGTCCCCAGCTTTTTCCTTCTATCTCTGTGTCTGTCTCTTTCTTTCATTTCCTCAATCCCCAGACGCTCCTACTCAGGAACCGGACCGCTCTCTAGCTGCGCTGGACACAGAAAAGAGAAATATTTATACAGGGATACAAATATTTATATAAATATATACATATTTAAATTCACATATTTATGAAACATTGTTTTTCTCTAATTTTCTTCAATGAAACAATTTTTAAAAAATCCTCATCCCAGGGTATTTTTCCACTGATGTGTTTAGAGAGTGGAAGGGAGGAAAGAAAAGGAGAGGAAGAGAGAGAAACATTGATGAGAGAGAAACATGGATGTGAGAGAAAGACATAGATCGGTTGCCTCCTGCACGCTCCCGGTTTGGAGCCTGCAACCGAGATATGTGCCCTTGACTGGGACTCAAACCCGCAATCCTTCTGTCTGCAGGCCAATACTCTAACCATTGGGAAACCTGGCTAGGGCTTCAATAAAAGTTTTGTTCAAACTTGTTACAGTATTTCAATACGTGTCCATCATCACTAGAGCCTTTTCTTAAATTATGTAATTTCATTTACTAGAAGTATCACCTTTACTTTCAACTAAGCTGAGATACAGACAGCATTTAAAAACTTTGTGTAACGTTACCACTGAAAATTTTATCTCAAGCCATATTAAGACCTTATTCATATAATAGCTCTTAAAAAAAGAACTGTCCTGTAGGCATATTCATGATCCCTATAAAAAAATGGTATTTTCTTTTTAAAGTGATTTTTTATAAGCTTTTTTTTAAAAAAAATCCAAACTTATAAATTGACAGGTCACATTTCGAGAAATAATAATAAAATTTACTAAATTTCTTTGTCTTCTTTGTGAACAAGTTGTCAGGTGATAAATTAGGTGACATTTTCCAAGTCCCAGTCCTCTGAATCTGGCAGGCTTGTGACTATGTAGACCAATATGATACAGCCTAAGTGTGTCTTAGGAGATGCAGCCCCCACCCCCCAACCCCACCCTGCTCCTTGGAATATTTGTCCTTGGGACCTGAGCCACCCTATATGTCTGACTGCCCTGAGCTCAGCTGCCAGGCTGTGAGGCAATCAAACCACATAGAGAGCCACTATGATCCTAGTCTTTGAGTCATCCTAGGTTGCTGCTTTATACATCTAAGTTTTGTGATTTGTTATCAGAGCAGCAGTAACTAATACAAAATTTGGTACCAGGAACTGGGGTACTACTCTAACAAAAATCTACATTAGAGGGCACTGGCTGAGACCAGGTGACAAGTAGAGCTGGAAGGGCCTAGAAGGGATTGCTGATGAAGTGGATGAAATGGTAGAATTTTAGAAATACTGTTGGCTATTTGACTAGGTACCTACTGCCATTGGTGGACTGGGCTAAGCAGATCTCCACACAGAATGTTGAAAGTATCAGTGATTTATTTTATCCACAATAATTAGAAGATAGAGAGATAGACTAAAAAACGAACCGGTCAGTTTACAAGCAAAATTTAGAGAGAATATAAAAGAGCCAGAACTTATGGGATTCAAAATATACTTTTCCTTTCTACTTCTTCCTGGCAGAAGATTCTCAAAGAACTCAGAGGTACAGGAAACTGAGGAACCACGTCTGAGCAGACTGCGCTGCACTTGGACCTGTTTTAGACCCTGGATTTCGAGGCTGGGGGAATCTTTCGAAAGGAGAAATGTATTTTTGCATTTGGGAGAAGTAGGTAAAAATTATGTGGACAGAGGATGGACTGAAGAGGTGGTTTTAAAACATGTCCATAAGGTATTTGACATTCTTAAGAGGGAGGGTCTATGCTCTTCCTCTCAAATTTGGGAAGGTCCATTACCATTTACATCAATAGAATATGGAAGAAATGAAGCTATGTGACTTCTGAGGCTAGGTCATAAAAGGCGATGAGGTTTCCATCTTGTTTCCCGGAACACTGAACTTGGAGATCTGAGCCACCATGTGAGAAGTCCAACCACCCTAATGCTGCCATCTGTGAGGAAGCCAAGCAACACAGAGGGCACACGTGGGCCCTCTGCTCAGCAGTCCTGTTCACATCATCCCAAACCAACACCTAACATGTGAGTGAAGAGCTCTCAGATGATTCTAGTCCCCTGCCTTTAAGTCTCTAAGCATTGGGGTAATTCATTATATAGGAATATCCACTGATATGCCACCACTTTAAAAAAAATGTATGATAGACAAAATACCTGTGGACCAAGTATAGTCCACAAGCAGGCAGTTTACTTTTTTGGGGGGGGGTGGGGGAGGGGTGTCTAATTGCTCTATTAATCTTTCATAATGATTATGGTTTTGTCAATTTCATCATTGGGTTCTGTTTTGCTTTTATCACACATTGCATATTAATGGCTCTTAAATCTTTTTGGTTTATTTGGTCAGTTTATTAATGTCAAACACTCTTTGTCCCTTTTAGTGCTAAACTCCACTATACACATGTAACAGAAGAGTATAAAAAGCAAATCACGTCAGTATTATTAGTGAAGAGAGTTTTGTCCTTGCCACTCTAAATTCACCAAGCTTCACTTTTAACTCTGCTTCAAGTATTATGTTCTTCAACTGTGAGTCTGGTGCTTCTCTTGATTTTAGATTTTCTCAAATGTTTGGTAACACTTGGTAGTGTGTGAGGACATCTGAGATTTCCTCCTCACCTACTAGAATCCTGTTCACTGCAGCCTGCCAGTAAAGGGACAAAACATGTTGCCAGGGAGGATGTGCTAGTAGCTAATCGCAGTACAGAACCACCCACAGTTTTGCTTTCTTTGGTTTCAGTTATCTGTGGAAAACTGTGGCTCAAAAATATTAAATGGAAAATTCCAGAAATAAACTATTCGTAAGTTTTATATTGTGTGCCATTCTGAGTAGCACAATGACACCTCATGCTGTCCCACCTGGGATGTGAACCACCCCTCTGTCCAGCATATCCATGCTGTATCCACCACCCACCCTTAGTCACTTATTAGCTGTCTGGGTTATCAGATCAACTGTGGCAGTGGTGCCGTGCTTGTGTTCAAGTAACCCTTATTTTACTTAATAATGACCCTCAAGCCATTCACATTACTTTTTATCAATGTATATGTTCTATTTTATTATTGTTGTTGTTAATCTAATACTATGCCTAATGTGTGTATTAACTTTATCACAGGTATGTACATATAGGGAAATAACATAGTATATATAGGGTTCAGTACAATCCCATTTCAGGCATCCACATGGTGTCTTGGAATGTATTCCCTGAGGATGAGAGGGGACTACTGTATGGGCATCCTCTTCCTTATCGAGTACAACAGGGTCAGTATCTTCCTCTTAAATAAGGCAGTTTGCTTCATTCCCTCCTATGTTGTTATCAGTTTAGCAGTAAGTTTAACCAGTTTCTTTGTTCAATGCTTCCTTAATCCCATTTCTTTCTCTTACAATAATTTTTCTTCCCAGGATACATATCTATTTCATACAGAATCTATGCAGTAAAATTTGTGGAGCATTTCTAAATTGTCTCTATTTTGCCCTACAGATTCTTCCTAAACTGACCTAATTTTACCTATACCAAGTATTTGAAACATACCTTCCAATCTAGTCATGCCAACTTCTTCACTGTTCTTTAAATATGTGAGATTCATGCCATAACCCAATGCCTAAACTTCTACATACTCTACTACTCTACCTTTTAATGCTCTTTCTGCCTACTCAGGGATTTACAGCTCAAGGTCAAAGAACTAATTCCAACCATACCCTTTTTTGCTATGTACCTAGCAAAGGCAGGCTTGGGGCAGGGGGTGGGAAGTCTCCCAAATCAGCCACCAAATTGACTTAAGAGGCTAAATATTCAGAAATTCTAATAAATTCTTTCAAGGTTTACTTTCATGTTAGATGTCTAATAATGTTAGTCTACACTGAACTTCCATATATATATATACATATATATATATATACACATACATATACATACATATATACATACATATACATACATATATATATACATATACATATACATATACATATACATATACATATACATATATATATATATATATATATATATATATATGCTTGTGTTTGTTCCATTTTTTGTTAATCCTCACCCAAGGATATTTTTCCATTGATTTTTAGAAAGTGGAAGGGAGGGGAAGAGACAGAGAGAAACATCGATGTGATCAATTGGTTGCCACCCACACACGCCCCAACCAGGGCCAGGGATTGAGCCTGCAACCGAGGTATGTGCCCTTAACTGGAATCAAAGCCTCAACCCTTCAGTTGCAGGCTGACGCTAGGGCCGACACTCTATCCACTGAGCCACATCATCTAGGGCTTCCCTTCTAATATTTTTCACAGAACCACAGAAATCTCAATTTAGAATAGGCTTTAGCAACCTATATTAACACCTCATCTTACAAATGAAAAGACTGGGGCACAGAATAGTTACTGCTGGTCTAGGGTCAAGTGAATGACACTCAGAAGCCTAAAATTTTTATTCCACTTCCAGAATTTTCTTCACCTCACTACATAAGTGCCCAAATTCAACACTGTTTCATATTTCATGGCCCATAATTGGGACACCTGATTTTATATTCTTTCATTAACCTTTGTTTCACATGCTTATTATTTCATAGTTCAAATTTACAAACTTATTAAACTTGTTAACAAAAGTTATTTTAAACCAATAAATAACATTAACACTGTTAACTAGAGGCATCCCTCACTATCTAAACTCTCACCCAATGTTTGCTCTAACGGCTTGCAAAATTTTTTACTCAAAATTCACTATCTGAATCAACAAACTGTTTTAAGTGAAAATGTTTAAATTGAGATGTAGAGTGTGCTGTGTTCCTACCTCAACTGTTCTGACAGGATCACATCTCATGCTCATAATTATTAAATGTGTTAAGCATTATCACTATTGTCTTCCTTACATTAAGTGAATTTATCTTCCAAGGAAGTGGAAAAGGCTGTGAAGAAATCAGGTTAAGAACAAATAGGCCTAGGAAAACCTATATAGTAGTAGTTGAAAGTGATAAAGTGTACTGAGAAATCAATGCAGAAAAGGCATAACCATGTACATATCTCCATCTTGCATGCTTGCAGTTTAGTTATATGTGGGAAAATAAACTTATTTTTGTGGAAAAATGGAATATTTAATAAAGTTATAATATCAATTACCACAAAAACATACCTACTAGAAAAATCAATGCAAATTCATAGCATTTAATACTTAAGCTCAATATACCTTTAAGTTTAATGATTAAATTCAATATGTAGTTTTGAAAAAGAAAAATTACCTTTCAAGAGTTGATTCAGATCCATTGTGTCATGTATGGCTTTTTGTTTATGTCTACGGTCTAAATTGGAATCTAACACTGAAGACTTCGAGGTGAGATCTACTCCATGTTTTTCTTTCCCTTTTTTGGCTGATTTCAAATTATTTTTAAAATCCTCAACATTTCCATACACTTCTTGACTCACATTTTCTTGTCTTTTAACTTTTACTTTTTGATGGTTTGATGTGCCCAGTTCAAAAGACTGAACAGGGCTGATGTCTGGCGTCGATAAAGGAGTGACATCTGTCACAGTGTCTTCAGATTCCTCAGTGTAGTCACCGACTTTTGATTTAGTACTTGTAGGCTGTGTTCCTGCTGATTTTTTTCCTGGTTTACATTTCTGTTTTGGTGACAAGTGGGTTATACCAGAGAGATGTTTCTTTAATGATGGAGATGATTCAGGTGTACAATTATCAGACTCTGCAGTTGAACAATCTGTATCTGAACTTGAAGATGAGGAGGACAAAGAGGAAGAGGAACTACTTTTGGAATACTTTTTACTTATGCCTTTTTTGATATTACTAGATGGTTTAGCTGACTTGGACCGGACATAATGTTTTTTCCCATCATCACTGCTTTCCTCTCCATCTGTATAATAATCATTTTCACCTTCTTTTACCATTTTGGGAATTCTATTTGGAATGGTCAAGTGTATTTTATGTCCTATTGTAGCATCACACAGTTTTTCTGATCTTGAAGAAGTTGTCAATGATAAAGAATTTCTGGTTTGTGCATTATCATTTTCTATAGGGTGTTCTTCTGAAGGACTTTTCTCTTTTCTTTCATTTCCTTTCTCAGCAAGATCATTTTCTTTTCTCTGCATTCCAAATTTCGAGTTTACATTTACTGTATCTTTGTCTATTCTCTCTTTAGGGCAATCATTTTGCTTGCCAAAAACTGAGTTACTTTCACTTTTCTTTGCTTCTTCAAAGTCACTGTCAAAGAAAGAATGGTCCACTTCATCTTCTGATATATCTCTGAAACGATCCATAATAGCAAATATATATCTAAAAAAGAAAAATGTAACCATCAGACTAAAGAGCAATTTTGAAATATTTTTTATTTTTACTTAGTAATTTATAGTTTTTCCAAACTGAGAAGTTTGGGTAACATATCAAGAGAAACATGACCCCAAAAAACACACCAAAAAATAACCCAGCGAAATTATAATGGGGCTATAGGAATAATTCCAAGTTGTGCCAATGATCTGAAAAATAGGTTACTACTTTTTTGTAAGATAATTCACCCTGTATTACAAAAAGTCAAGGGCGAAATAAAAGAATGTGGTTGTTTTTTCCTTTCTCACTTTGATACATGGTTAAGAATACCTTTGAAATTAAAAATTATTTTGTAAGTTTCTTCAATTTTAAAAGCAAATGGTTTCATAGCACACCCCTGAGCTGCTTCAATGAAGCAGTTGGTTCTGAGTGCTATGGCGAAGAGTCTAAAATGTGAATCATGATTAAGGGTTTATAGAACAGGGCCATATCTAGCAAAAGTAATGACAAAGAATGTATTCAGATACTTAGGACTGATATGGAAAAAGATTTTAGAGCTGTTACTTGTAGCTCCAGAGGTAGAACTTGCATCAACAGATGGAGTGCATGAGAAAGCCGTTCTGAGTTTAACGTTAGGACTGCTCAAAAATGGACTGGGCTACTTTCTAAGATTAGGAGCAAGGAGTGACTAGTGGGATGCTGTAGGGAATTCATGCATTAGGAGCATATGCTGTTTCCCGACCCTATGATTATATGAACCAGGTCTAAATCCCAAAGTCAAATGATTAAATACTACTTTGAAATCCCTGTTTTTCATAGCTAACAATTCCCTGCCTTTCTGTCTCCTTACCAGACTGGGAACTCCTGATAGCTAGCTCATCTTTATATACCGAGTGCCTAAAGTAGGATCTGACAAATATGATTCAAAGACTGTTTAACCAATGCAGGAGTTTGGAGTCAGGAAATGTAAGATTGTGCAGTGGGCCCTAGCTGGTTTGGCTCAGTGGATAGAGCGGGCGCCTGTGGACTGAAGGGTTTGATTCCCATCAAGAGCACATGCCCAGGTTGCGGCTTGATCTCCAGTACTGGGCGTGCAAGAGGCAGCCAGTCAAGGATTCTCTCTCATCATTGATGTTTCTCTCTCTCTACCTCTCCTTTCCTCTCTGAAATCAATAAAAATATATTTTAAAAAGAGATTGTGCAAGGGTTCTGCTCTTTGATGTGTAAGCAGAAAAGTTACCTCTTTTGTTTCCCACAATCCTCTCTTTCCCTCCACTCCTCCCCTGACCATACACCCCCACCATACTCCCCCTCCCCTTATCTTCATTGACATGGTTCATGCAGGCCCCAGTAGTTTTAAGCATCTGCTTCCCTAAGTGGTCACAGTTCATGCCAGCAGGTGCATAGCCCAGCGCCTGAGAAACGTCACGTTTAAATGTGGGTTGATAATATCCAACAATACCGTTATCTTAAGGATTTAAGCGCTCAGGATTTAACTTAATTTACGGAAAAGTTATCCAACAATCCCATCCACTGAGCAATCCTTTAGGTAATATTTACTTCAAAACGAGGTTTCAACTTATATTAGGAAATAATAAAAATACGGCGTGGACTTAAAATTAGCAACGGTTCTCTTGACGACACTCTGGGAAAGGGTAAAAACGAAACGATCGGTCCCCGGACCTTCCTCCCCCCTGCGCGGTGCTCCATGGAAACAGGTGACACTCACCGTGGGCACAGCCCCTCCGGTGTGCAGTGAGATACTAACGCTTTCAAGGGTTATCAGGAAAACACACATCAGATCCTGGCATTTTTCAAACTGTCATTTTGTTACTGTGACATTAGGTTTCTGTAGTCAGATATACAATATGGCCCAAAGGTAACCGATTGGATACACGACAATCTAGGCCCGAAAAAAACAAGCAAACACCCGTGTTCAGGAACCGGGGCTCCGTTCAGCACTCCCGCCCGACCCCGCGAGGTGCCCGAAGGTAACGGACGGCCTCACGCCTCAGGGTCCAGGTTCAAGTCCGCGGAGGTGGGCGCCGGTGACCTGAGCCCGGTTCCAGGGCTGACCCCGACTCCCACGCCACCCCGAACGCGACGTGCGGACAGGCCGTGCCCACCGCGGCGGAGGCTGCAGGCGGCCCCAAGACGCGCGGCGCGGCCGCCGACGCTGTGGTGACGCCCGCCGCCCGAGGGGCTTAGCCGGGCGCCTCCTCCCCTCCCGGGCGCTTCCCTACACCGACCCCGAGTGCTCGCCGCTGCCCCGGCTCCCGAGGGGAAACGGATCCGCAACGGAGAGGAGGCTGACGGGCGCGGGAAGAAGGGGTCGCTCGCGTGCCGCTCACCTGGGCGCCGTGGCCGGAGGCCGCCTCTCGAGCGCGCCCGTGACGTTCCGAGCTCGTGCGCACGCGCCGTCGC